ACATCCCATCCCCCCTTGTTCAAGCCGACGAGGAAAATTACACTTTATTTATGTGGTTTGTCTGAAGTGCTTCTATGGATTTTCCATCATTGTGTTATCTTGGTCGACTGACACACTGCATGCAGGGTTGTTATGGCAAATTATAATTATACTAAACTGATGTATACATGGAATTTAACCATGAAACCTAAGACTTCAAATATTTGTGTTCTATATCAAACTAATAAATACATGCTAATTTTCTTTACAGTAATTGTATTGTATAATTGCATTTTATGACATAAACATGTTTGAAACAATGACCATGACAGTGTTGTCTGATTTTATACTATTACGTTTTGTGTTTATTTCTCCCAACTCCCTTTGTTTATGTTCTACTCAATACAAAATAAATAGAATGACAAGCGTATAATGTATTCTATCTACTTGCATTTATATAGAGACTCGTTTTGTCTCTTTGCGTCAGTCCGGAAATGTTTGTCACATGTCATTTATACAGTCCCTTGTATATTTCACGTGTTCGAAGACCAGACTAGGTGATGTAACGTTCCCGAGTTTTGCATACTCAGAAACGATTACACTGCTACCATCCGCTGATCTTGTCCACAACAGTTTTGTGATATCCTGCGTGTATTTGACGTCATAGGTAATGGTGACATTTTCATCATCGTCGGCTATGATATCTGTTAAACAGCAAACGTTCAAAATGTAAAATAAAGCACACATCATAAACAGTACAACGTAAAGGCATTATTTTGGATTTCAGTGCACACTTCGCGTCTTTCCGGTACACTTGTCAAATTCATGTTCACCGATTTGACTCAAATTCTCATGTTTGGTAACATTCTGAATTTCGTTTGTATTTTAGTCGAGACACCATCTAACCATCGAAACGACCTCCGAAGACAACCTAAGGTCATATAACCCGATATAATCGTGTGTTTTTCTTACACAAAAGAAGTGTAAAAAATACCGAACACCAAGGCAAATGCAAAAAGGGGAAGTCCATAAAACTGACAAAATCAAACGCTTACAATCAATGGAATAAGTGAAAAACAACTGCCATATTCCTGATTTCGTACAGACATTTTCCGAAGAAAATGGTAGGTTAAACCTGGTTTAAAAGCTAGCTAAAACTTCCACTGTGTCAACTTATTGTAGATATCTATATAAGAGGGTATTCTACTGTTGCATTTATTTCGTGCTTGAAGCTTATCATTCACCATGTTTCGTATAAAGTGGTCAAACGCAACATGTAAGCTATTTTTTTTTAGTTATATTTCGTTTATCTTGAAATTTCCATTTTACTTCCCATTCGTCCGTTTATAACCTAGGCCTCCTCTTCCCTTTTACGACTTTCATTCAAATTTCTTTTCCTCTTCTCTCTCTTACACTAATCCAGTAATTTCCGACATTATACTAACAAAATTCATGCCACATCCACAAAAAAAAAATCAATACTTTTGTTTAAATATTGCCAATATAAATTTTACTTCTAGTACTTTCTACTCCTATTTATAGACCGCATTGCAGACGTGAAAGAAAGCATTGTAAACAACGTTTTGATAATTATGAACTTTCAAATCAATTAAAGTAATTATCTAGCATGAATATCAAATCAAGAATATTTGTATTAGGCATGATATAAAAACACTGTTTTTCTCTATAATGTCGAAAATTGAATAGTGTTGTCAGTTGTTTTACGAGACGATTTTTTTTTCTTTTTATGCAACTGTAGGTTGCACTTCTGTAAATATAGACAATTATTTCCCATTGAAACTCCTTTTACGGCATAAACTGTGCCACTAGTACTATGAAGTTTCGTGAAAAATTATATCCTAGAATAGAGAGTTCATATCCACTTCTATTTTTTTCAAAGGTCAAAATATAGGGCTGTGCGGCATATTTTCAACATTTATATGCCTCGAACTTCTAAGAATTTAAACTTATACTAAAATTTTGTAGTACCCTTCCCTTCACTTTGGGTCTTCCTTATAATTCAATTTAACCGCTATCCATGTGTATTTATACTGGTAACATTCCCATGTTATGTCTCTACGCGATGAAACATAGAGATCATTTCCGGGAACCAGAAAGTAAACACAACAAAATTTCTATGAATAGTATATATTTCCCCTAAAGAGGCGTGGTTTGTAAAACAGCTATTTAAAGTGCAACCTGTATATCTTTACTTTGGAATTTCAATATATGAAATGAAAATAAAAAAAAAACTTTATAGTATAAGCTATAATGTGTTATATTGCGTTTGTATATGTGTATATGCGCGTGTTTAGAATTTCACTTCATTTTGTGTTCACCGACCATATCAACATTGAATTTCTTCTTTTTAATCTGATCTGTGCCGTTTTCTAGTGTTTATAAGTTAGTATTGGGACAGTTGCAACAATGTATATGAGATACTTCCGAGACCGTATCTGTTTTTTGTTATAGAGTTGTGGAGAAGAAATGGTGCATAGCAGTTCTAACAAGCTTCTGGTTGGTCAGCAAGTAGGGGGAAGGCGTCGCAGAAAACAATTAAAATAGTCTTAGTAATTTGGACTAATCAGCCAGTAAACCCAACTCAACCACTCTCCGAAAATCACGCCATGCTGAATTATTTCACTCGGACAAGAAATTTCATGTACAAAAACTACACTTGTTGATAAATATTGCTGATGTGCATTAGTACAGTTCCACCGTAATCCATTTTTCCGATGAGGCGGAATCTCCCGACATCTTGAAAATATTTTTTTTTCTGGTGTAAGGGAGATAACTCTCAACGACTAACGTAATGTTTTCCGTTTTCCGTTAGAGGCGCTGATTTACGTACCTCTCACCTTTAGCAGAACATGTTATAAATGTAAGCAATAAAGCATACATCATAGAATGTACAGCGTTACGGCATATTTTGGAATTCACTGCGCACTTCACGTGTTTCCGGTACGCCTTAGCTGTCAAATTCATGTCCACCGATTTGACTCAAATTCTCATGTTTGATTTATAACATACTAAAACGTATATCCAAATTACAAACAGCCTAAAACAAACAACTAACAAAGCATGGACTCGATAATATATATCAGCCTTTCGTGTCATTTTTAATTTATATGCCATCTAATTAGCCATCGAGATTATCCTCCGAAGACTGCCGACGGTGACATAACCGGATATAACCATACACATAAATATTAATAGATAGCGAGCACGTGCATTTGAATTTTTCGTGGTCTGTTTGATTTCATATTTAAGGGGGAAAATATGTTAATCATCGATTTTACCTGTGTAAAAAAGATTTTTTGTGGATCGAATCAGTCAACACAATGGTTCACACTAGCCTTGCTTTCAATGTTGACGTTCTTTTCCTTTTTATAGTTAAACATGTCTAGTACATGCACAACCCTTCTCTAGCTAATGGGTTTAATTAAAGGTCACATGACTATGGTACAATGAGATTAAATTATTAACTTTCAAGTCCACAATACATCAGCGATGTTTTGAGCGTATTTTGACAAATTTTGGACAAACTGACTGCTTATAACGAACTATTATTTTAAAATTTTCGTTTTTATTAATACTTAAAACAAAAAGAATCGTATTTTGATTGTTTGTCTAAATCGTAGCTAATGTCCCCTTAATACGATATCAAACGTTTGTCCGCCAAATCTAAATAAATATACTATTATATAATGATATTGCAGTAAAAAGTAGGGATGTCAACAAGTTCTCGAGTATTCGAATATAGCTCGGTAGTACCGAGTATCCAATACCTAAACGATACTCAACTAAACGGTTTCCTGTTAGAATATTGCTGTCTTCTTCATATAAAATTGGTCTTCTTGAGAACATCATTCGGAAAATTAAATAGGCATCACCAAATATTCATACTAGTAAATAAAATACATTTTGTTTCGAATGCTTGCGCTAAATTATCATTAAAAAGCCTCCAAAAATACGTGGTCTATACTTAGGCTGACACTTTAAACTAAACATGTCTTAGCCATTCCGTCACATAGTACCGTCAGAGAAAATATTTTCGTCTGCAAGACTGTAATTTACAAAGTTACAAAACCGACTGTCCCCAATAAAAATTTACAAGAAAATATTTCTAAATAGAATAAATTCGTTGCATCCTCTGGTGACCCTCAGTGAATAGTAAAACTTCTAATTCCTTAGCCTTTGTAAGCATTAAATATGTTTTCTTAACGATTACCAAATACTTGTTTGATATGGTTTTTCATTGTTTTAATTTTTAAATAGGTGCTCATTAAATAATTTGATTAGATTATTGTTGTTTTATATAAATAGTACTTAAGCTATTAATCATGGTGTGTAATTCCTTGTCCCAGTTTCTTATGTAGATGTTTTTTCGTCCGTTGAACAACAAACCACAGAATGTAAAATACGTGTTTCCGTGTTGTAGATATATTCCCGAGCGAGTACTCGAGTATCGCTCAATAAAACCAACGAGTACTCGATTAGTAATTGTTCACCGAATTGACATCCCTAGTAAAAAATAAAACAACAAAAATACCGAACTTCAAGGAAAATTCAAAACGGAAATTTCCTCAACAAATGGCAAAATCAAAAGCTCAAACACATCAAACCAATGGAAAACAACTGTCATATTCCTGGCTTGGTACAGGCATTTTTTTTATGTAGAAACTGGGGGATTAAACCTGGTTGTATAGCTAGCTAAACCTCTCACTTATGACAGTCGTAATAAATTGCATTATATTGACAATAATGTGTTAGCAAAACAATCAGACATAATAGGCAAATTTGTCAAAAATTTGGGCACAGCAGTCATGACAACATGTAAATTAAAATTGAAATTTGAAAGCCTTTAAAAGATCCACATATTTAAGAAGAAATATCAAATATCAACCGGAAACATGATGAAGCCTGGTGTTTAAAATTGGATTTTCAATATATATTACTTTAAATTTACTACTGAACATCGCATTTGAAGAAAATGAGACGACACTACGAACACGCGCACATTGAACCAATTTAAAATGCACTTTATTAGAGATTAATCAAATGGAACATAACAGTAAAGAAAAGTTACGAAACGCAATCGGTTGTTTTCGCTTTTGTGACTATTCCATTTAACTTGTGTATTTATTTGGTGAAAATTCCTGTCATAACAACGCTAATGATGACAACGAATTATTCAAAAAGGCATTCTTTCAAATTATATGGAATTGATATTGATGAAAAGTTAAGCTGGAAAGAACATTTTGATCGTATATTTAAGTTGATCTCATCAAAAAATCACGTTTGTGTACAAACCATACATCGATATTAAAGATGTTGTCCAATGACAATTCAGTTTCTGAATCACACTAATCAACTCGATATTGAACAGCCAAGATACTTAATTTTCTTTACAAATTCATTCAAAATTAAAAGCTATCAAGTTATTTTTAGCTATAATTTTACTCTTATGCAAAAGATTCCGATGTTTGGATTATCTTTTTGTTAATATCGAACTTTTTTCTCATCTTACTTTTTTTGTCTTTTGCTTTTTGTCTTATTTTCTTGGAATTCCAAAAGGTAATTGTCGACTTTACAAACTTAACTAAACTAAGTAAATCAATCAGTATAACAAGGCCAAAGACAATACAAATAACAGCAGTTCCGGCTAATCCCATGGTCTCAGAAGATTTCCGTCTATCAGTAGCAGATGTTCGCTTGCGGATGCTAGACGACAGTTGTCTTTTATTTACTTTCAGTTCCTTTTTAATCTTTTGTAATTCTGATTCCAATTCCTGCAGCAATTCTTCTCGGGTTCTGTTTGGAATTATCTTGAAACCCCAATATTCTAGTTTTCTCCGATATTCGCATGAACATGGAAACATATTTGCTGAAAATAATGACAGCTTATAAAATATTATTATTCATTTTTCTTATATATATATATATATATATATATATATATATATATATATATATATATATATATATATATGTAAAGCTGTCAATGAACAAATCTTCAATATCTGGGAACCTGTAATATCAATGTCACAGATGACCATAGATTTGTTCCAATTGTCGTAACCATAATTCCGTTCTCTTTATTACGATTGTGGCATCATCGAACGACACCTATTCCCGAATGTGAACTTACCATGAATAGCGGAGCACATGAGATCAACCTTAATGTTAGACGGGGTTCGTATTAATGGGTCTTTAGTTTTCTATATCGCATTGTGTGGACTTGTCTGTTTTTTTTTCGTTGTCTTTCGGTTTGTTTTTGTTTTGTTTTTTTTGGCATGACGTTTACAGTTTCCTCTCGACTGATGAGTTTTGAATATTTTGTTATCATTCGCCTCTTTTTCAAGTTGTCAAAAACAAAAATCAATATTTAAATATTTTGGATAACAAAATAACACACTTCTTTCATTTAGAATAAATTGTCTTAAATGAAACGACGAAAAAGCATGCTATTCATCATACAAACAAACAAAAAAAAACCAGGAAATATGGTATCGCGTTATGTAGTGTTAAAAGACATCTGAATATAGTTATAATTTGAAAGGAAAATCTTACATCGTAATTGTAAAAACAGAAGGTGTATACATGTTTCAGTCGACTATTGAAAGCTACATGCCCAGTTAACAAATGGTTAAAATGATACTTCAAGCTTGCAAGTCAGACAAAAAAGATGTGTCACGTGGTATCTGCCCTGTTAAAATCTAGGATATTCATTGAAGAATATCTTCCATAAAATTGACACATATTATACATGTATACTAAGTATTAAATGAACATATATTGATGTGACTACATGGCAAATATTTATCAGCCTAAACGACTCACAAAACAGTGTATCTGCGAGGTATTCAATTTACAATTTTAAACATTGCCCTTTTTTCAAGCCGACGAGGAAACTAAAATAATATCCTATATATTTGGTTCGTTCGAAATGTTAATATGGATTGACCTTCATTTTCTTATTTTGGGTGACTGATTCACTGCATGCGGGGTTGTTTTGGCAAATTATAATTATATTAAACTTGTGTACACATACGTGTCAACCATTAAACTTAAGACTTCAAATATTTATGTACTATATCAAACTAATAAAGATGCATTACTTCATTAATTCTAAATTTCTTTACAGTCATTGTATTGTATCATTGCAATTTATGACATAAAGGTGTTTTAAACAATGACCATGATTGTGTTGTCTGAATTTATACCATTACCATTTATGTTTAATTCTCCAAACATCCTTTGTTTATGTTCTACGCAATACAAAATAAAAAGAATGACAAGCGTAACATGTATTCTACATACTTGCATTGATAAAGAGACTCGTTTCTACTATTAGCGTCAGTCCGGAAATGAATATCACATGGCATTTATACAATCCCTCGTCTGTCCATTTTACGTGTTCAAAAACCAGATTAGGTAATATAACGTTCCCGCCTTTTGCGTACTCAGAAACGATTACACTTGTGTCATCCGTTGATCTTGTCCAAAACAGTTTTGTGATTTTCTCTTTGTACTTGACGTCACAGGAGGTAAGGGTAACACTTTCATCCTCGTCGGCTATAATATCTGTTAATCAGAAAATGTACAAAATGCAAGCAATAAAGCATACATCATAGACTGTACAACGTTACGGCATAATTTGGATATCAGTGCGCACATCACGCGTTTCCGGTACTCCTTAAATAGACATGCTGTGAAATTCGTGTTTACCGATTTGACTCAAATTCTCATGTTTTATTAATAACATACTATAACGTATATCCAAATTACAAACAGTCTAAAACAAACAATTAACAAAGCATGGACTCGGTGATATATAAGAGCATTTCGTGTGTATTTTAATCTAGACTCCATCTAATTAACCATCGGGATGAACTCCGAAGACTGTCGACGGATATAAACAAATATAAAGAGATAGCGAGCACGTGCATTTGAATTTTTCGTGGTCTGTTTGATTTCATATTTAAGGGGGAAAATATGTTAATCATCAATTTTGCCTGTATAAAAAAGATTTTTTTGTGTATCGAATCAGTCAACACAATGGTTCATCCTAGTATTACTTTAAATGTTGACGTTCTAGTACATACACAACCCATCTCTAGCTAAGGAATTTAATAGAAGGTCACAGGACTGTGGTTCAATGAGGTTAAATTATTAACTTGCAAGTCTATAGTACACCAGCGATGTTTTGAGCGTATTTTGACAAATTTTGGACAAACTGACTGCCTATAACGAACTATAATTTTAAAATTTTCGTTTTTATTAATACTTAAAACAAAACGAATCGTATTTTGATTGTTTGTCTAGATCGTAGCTAATGTCTCTTTAATAAAATACGAATGATACCAAACGTTTGTCCGCCAAATTTAAATAAATACACTATTTTAACTAGAAATTTTAATGATATTGCAGTAAAAAGTAAAACAGCAAAAATACCGAACTTCAAGGAAAATTCAAAACAGTAAGTCTGTTAACCTATGGCAAAATCAAAAGCTCAAACACATCAATCGAATTGAAAACAACTGTCATATTCCTGGCTTGGTACAGGCATTTTCTTATATAGAATATGGTGGATTAAACCTGGTTTTATAGCTAGCAAAACATCTCACTTGTATGACAGTCGCAAAAAATTGCATTATATTGACACCAAAGTGTGAGCAAAACAAACAGACATAACAGGTAAAATGTCAAAAATTGGGGTACAGCAGTCATGACAGCACGTAAATTAAATTTGGAATTTGAAAGCCTTTAAAAAATCCCCATCTTTGAAAAGAAATATCAAATACTAGTATCAACCTAAATCATGATGAAGCCTGGTGTTTGAAAAGGGGTTTTCAATATATATTACTTTACATTTACTACTGAACATCGCATTTGAAGAAAATGAGACGGCACTACAAACACGCGCACGTTTAACCAATTAAAAATGCACTCTTTTAGAGATTAATCTAATGGAACATGTAGTAAAGAAAGGTTACGGAACGCAATAGGTTATTTTTGCTTTTGTGACTATCCCATTTAACTTGTGTATTTATTTGGTGAAAATACTTGTCATAACAACGCTAATGATGACAACGAATTATTCAAAAAAGCATTCTTTCAAATTACTTCGAATTGACATTGATGAAAAGTTAAGCTGGGAAGAACATGTTAGTCGTTTATGTAAGATGATTTCATCGAAAATATCACGTTTGTATAAACTAAAACCATACGGTTGCCTATAATTGCTTACACTCATTTAATTTGAACTTTGGTGGATAGTTGTCTCATTGGTAATCATACTATATCTCCTTAATTTTATATTAAAGAATATTTGCTTATACACATACGACAACCATTGTATAATGCATATATATTCAACCATAGAGCTATTTTAGTATGGGGAAATTTATTACATAACGATCCAGATAGAATCATAAAACTTCAAAAAAGAGTAGTAATAATTATACTTGAATGTGGTATTTCTGTTCCCTCAAATTTGGAGTTTTCTTCTTTAATATGATTATCCTTTACAAAAATACCAACAACCAATTATAATGTATAAAATTGAAAATGGACTAACTTTTGTTTAACATGTTTAAGGTTATTGTTGTTTTTCTTAAATTGTTTAACATTTCACAGCGATCTAATACTGTTACTTTAATTATTCATCCCTTATTTTATTGATTTTGTATTTGCATTGTATCATAGATCATATTTATTCGTTCAGTGTATGTTCACTTGTGTTAAAATGTCTTTTGATTGAGTTAAGCCATTTCAATTGATATTTTATAGTGTGTCTTTCTATGTTGTGATGTTACACTATTGTTTCAGATAAGGGTGAAGGTTTGGTACCATTCAAACGTTTAAACCCGCTGCAATTGTTTGCACCTGTCCTGAGTCAGGAATTTGATGTTCAATAGTTGTCGTTTGTTGATGCGGTTCATAAGTGTTTCTCGTTTCTCGTTTTTTATATAGATTATACCGTTGTTTTCCCGTTTGAATGGTTTTACACTTGTAATTTTTGGGGCCCTTTATAGCTTGCTGTGCGGTGTGAGCCAATGATCCGTGTTGAAGACCGTACTTTGACCTATACGTTATGTTTACTTTTATAAATTGTGACTTGGATGGAGAGTTGTCTCATTGGCACTCATACCACATTTTTTTTTATCTAACACTTGATAACTTATCAATGCTCATTAATAAATGATAATGATATTCAACACTACAGCTTGCGAGCTGTCTTTAAAAACGATCAATTTGTTCCAAGCCGGGCCAAATGCTAATTTTTATAAAAAAATATTTTCATTATTCTGCAACCAAGGTATGGAATGATTTACCATTCACAATAAAAAAAAATTGTCGTAATGTAGAATTATTCAAGAAACATTGCTACAATCATTTTTTGGAAATGTTATGTATGTAAAATAATATATATATATGAATTTTGTTTGGGGCCTCAATGAAAGTTAGACAAGTTTTCATTGAGTTACCCTCTTTACATAAATAATGTATCAGTTGAATTATTATTATTATTATTAGTATTACAAGTTAAAAACATCACCATTTTGTCTTCAATTTCTTCTTATAGTCGAACTGAGTCGTTTCGAAGTCGTGGTATTTTGTATTTTTAACAGATAAAATAATTTTTTTCGTTTAAATAGTGTTATGTTTGGTCATTTTCGGACCTCATATAGCTTGTGGTATGGGTTTGCTCATTGTTGTAAGCTGGGGTTTAAATCTACTTCATTTTGTCTTATAAGCAATTATACCGCTTCTTTTTATTTTTGTATTTGTAAAAGATTAAGACTGTGTTATCGTTCTAACTTTTTATCTATATCGTACCATGTGTATTTGAATATATGCTGCTTTGGTCTGCTTTATTAAATGCTACTGTCGCCGTATTTCTCTAGGCATATGTCTGATTTGTTCAGCAATGGGAGACCAATGTGTTATAATTATTTATGAAGGTGTCGTTACACAACACAAAGATTACCTGGTTTCCTCTGACAAGCAGTTGTCTTTATTCCTGTGCATGGAACATCAGCCCATCCATTCGGACAAGAAATGACACATTCTTCAGGAGATTCATCATTATTTGGCTCGCCTCAATAAAATAAAAAAGGTTTTCATTGATCTGTAAGTTTTTCGAATTCTTCAGTTTCTTACCCTTTAAAGTGAGATTTAAGTATTTTTCTCGACACTTTTTTTGCAAAACATCTGATTTTTTTTTTTCTGAATAATGCATAAACATAGTGATCGTTTATGCATTAATGTTGAACATACAAGATTATACCATGAATCATGTATCATGAAATAATTTTTTTTCTTAACTATTTCAATGATCAATTAATTTCTGAAATTTTTAATAGCATTTATCCAACCTTGGAGCGTTCGAAACGCTTTTCTTGATTGGCCAGCACTGGATGCGTTTTTGAAAATTACTTTGTAGATTATGTATTCCATCACAATTGGTAAAAATCTCAAAGAGACAACAAAATTACATTTGATTATAAGCTATGGAAATCAATTAGATTAAACAATATATAAGTCGACGATCCTTTAAAAAGAATAGAACTGACAATAATTGAGCCATTTTAAAAAATCAAAAAAATAACATTATAAGGTAAATCTGATAATTCAATCTTCATAAAGTACCTTAAATTGGAAAACGATCAAATTTAACTATTAAAATATGAAAGTACGAATGATAAATGTACTACCTCAGAGTAAGTTATATTGTAGTGTTTGATCTATAATTAGTAGATATAATGTCGACAATAAATCTAAACTAACGCAATATGACTAGATTCGATCAGTAATACCAATATAAACACTAATTGTTTAAAAAAAAAACTGTATCACATTTCTCGATGTTATTGTACAAGATCATTGAGACTATGCATTTTTAATCTGCAATTATATCTCTTCATACCGCTTTATATAATAGAAAAGTCTACACATTTAAGGTTTATGATGACATGCGATTAGCATAAATCGTTTTGAATGAGTATGAATTTAGTGAAAATGAGATTCTAGGCCTAAATTATTTATAATCTGTTCTTCAAATTCGAATGTTGATAAATTTCAATTAGTGTTTTTATCCGGATACAAGGATTGAACAATTGAAATGTTTGGCCCAAGATGTTAACCTAATGGCATCTGTAACTTTCTGTCATATGAGTCTTACTGTTTGCATCAGAAGTCTTAGTTAAAAATAAGTTAAAATAGGGAATAAAAGTAAATATGTGTCTTTGATTGCTTGATTGTTGTTTGCTATACATCCAGTGGCATTAGGAAATACAAACCAGAGATTTGTATATAAAGTTAGTATATTTCGAATTCACAGATAAGAACCGATATTCCTCCTTGTTTAGTAGTTAGTCGTATTTTGTTTTTGATATTCGTAAATGCTAATTTTGATGTATAATTTTTGGCTTTTATAGACCCATTTTATGTAGTGCACTTCACCTTGGCTATTATTATCTCAAGACCAAGGCTTACCCAACATCACATCATTCAGACCCCAAACGATTGCATTGACTGGTAGTATACAAATATGGTCATCCCTGCACTTCTCATGTCCGGCAATTATACCCTTGCTGAAGTGGGACTTCATTTGACTGTGCCTGATGTATATATTACGTAATGTGAATTTGTTCTCGTCCTGAATATCCATCAAATCTGAGAGCAACAGTTAATCAATCGTTTTCTTAAAATTGTGTAATGTTCACATTATATTTGCTACTTTTAATGTTTTAAAATATTGATACAAATGTTTTCTCCTTTGTTGCTTTCTATCCCCCTTTTCTTCACACACACACACACACACACACACACACACACAAACAAACAAATTAAAAAAAAAAAATAAATGAAAAAAACAACACAGTAAGTTTTAATAGAGGCATAAAGTACAATAAACCTGATATGAGTCAGACTCATATAACATGTATAAAAAATGCCTTTAAATTTGAAACATATCTATTGATGATAATGTTACAACGTATTAAAATAGTTTAGAACTAAAGCAATGCTTGTACACATGTTTCAATGTTTAATAATGCATGTAAAAAAAAAGCCTTAGACTAGCTGCATACATATGGTTCCCATTGGACCTATAGCTTACTTGTTAGCTCGAATCTCCTTTTAATTGATATTATGATAGGAGACGCATGTTCTGGAAAACCGTTTCAATTACTTCATATACAGGTGCTGCTGGAATGTTGGGACATAGAAATTCAAAGTTCACTAAAGGAAAGTTGAAATCATCTTTGTTGTCAAAATACTTACTCATCAACCGACCCTTATTTTCAATTTCTTGGTGTAAGTCATAATATTATGTATTTTTAACGGTATCCTTTATTTCAAGCTCGATGGAATGAATACGTTCAATATAGACACCAAACTTTTAATTAACTAGTGAAAAGGACATCATCTATAAACCGGAATGTGGAGACAGATAATATGGCAATCTTCTTTGCTTACTACCTGAGAAGCTCCTTTAATAAGTCTGCAAGAACAGAAAAACAGCTGGTTCCCATATAAATGCTGTCTGGACAAAAACATGTTGTCCAAACATAACAGATTTTAGTTTCAGATATAATTTTGTTTGTTTGAATTAGACTTTTTTTTTGGGGAGGGGGTATTTGTTTTATTTGGGAGAGGGGTATATAAGATATATTTATCCTTTCCTAAGACAAGATGGTTGTATCTACGTAAGCCATTCTGTTTTATGACTTTTTTTTACCAATATATTGGGTAATGAAAGCAAATGCTTTTTATACTATATCGCAAGGAAAGTAAGCTTATGTAAAAAACAAACACTATGTTATTGTCGGAGACACAACATATTGTCATGATAAATTTAACAACACTTGGATCTTTCGAGATAAATTCAGAATAAGTGTTCAAAGACCAATTTAAATGTTTAATCCTAATTTGTATAAGTGATCTCACCGCCTTAATTATTTGGAAAGAGAATCTTCGTTCTTTTTCGCGTTTAACCCAATATTGCCTTGCATAATTTGCGTCTGAATAAACTAGTATTTTTAACTCGTGTTTCCTAGCTATTTATTGATTCAGGCTCATGGTATTTCGACTTTTTGTTAACATATTTAGCAGGAAAGTGTCACAAGTAATACAGTGACCAGCTGGATTATACATGAATGGCATTTGGCATAATCTATCACGAAGCTGAGCCTTGAAAGGAGTCAATATTAAGAACCTACAAAACATGTTTGTATATGTAATTAAAAATTTTAGTCGCTATTGCTGTGAAATATTAATGAAATATACAGACAGGTCTTTCAACATATTGAAATAAGGAGGTGTTTTGTTTTTGGAATGATTCAAGATAAACATGATAAAGGATATTTCTAATTCTCGTTTTCATACATTGTACGCTGCTTGGTAGATGATGACAAAAGATTCCACTAGCAGTGACATCAACCGAGTGATAATACCGGTAAATTTAGCAAGATATCATAGCGACTATCAAAAATCAGGAATCCAAGAAAAACCGACATTTATATTGCAAAACGCGACAAAGGATGCACAAAAATCTACGAAAACTACATAGAAAACTAAAGACTGAACAACACGAACCCAACCAAAACACAGTGAGTGATCTCAGATGCTCGGGAAGTTCTTGTTCCACATGTGGCACTGGAGAACATGATATACATGTTCAATATACCTGCAATATTTACCGTCGATAGTCTATCATTTATCATGCCATGAATCAATGATAAAAGAAATTATGGTTTATTTTCAAGATAAAGATCATGCAAAACTGACATTAAAAAACGTACCATTTGACCATCTATCGTTGGATTCTAATTTAGAACCATCGTTCCATGTCCAATCCAGTGCTGTTGTTTTATCATGATCGATTAGTCCTATCCAAAACCATTCACCAATTCTATAGTAGAATCAAAGTAATGCAATCGTGATGGATATTATTAAAATCTTTGCTAGCAGGTTTTTTTTTAATTTAAGGACTGTCATCTACCTTGTCTTAATTGTTTAATCATTTGCAGTCATTGTACTTTACGTGTCTATAACTTCGAAGAGTATTTAAATAAAAAAAACAAAAATTGAAGTCGCTATTGCTATGACAACTCGTGCTGGCAACAGAAATATAACGTTTTTACTAAGAACATGATATCAAATGCCAATAACACCTTATAAATTTGGTGCGTCTGAAGCGCTATTCTGGAGTTACCTATAACAGGAACATTCATACCCAAACGCAGTGTTAACAAATGGTGTTTAAGTGGCTGAATACGTGAAGACCTATATGACCACAAGGGGGATAATGTTATCCATCTAAAAACAAATTTGCCTGAGTGAGTTGGAACGTAAAAAGTAAACAGTAGGTAGAAGATTCAAAATCGACTAGGTTAAAGGGGAATCAATTAAGAAGACAACAATGAAATCAACATCAGATGTCGGTACTCTTGAAGGTAACAGAAAAACAAACATACTACTTTTTAATAGGAGAAACATAATACTATTATCAAAGGTGCAATTAAAAAAGCAAGAAAACAATCAACAAAATGCAAAAGATCATAAACACAAAAACTCCCTCAGACCGGTTATAAGAAAGAAAGTCTAAAATCGACACTATACATGTTTGTCAGTCACCATCAATAACTGATTTATGGACATAAGGACGAACAACTATGCGTAAAATATTGTCTGTTTGTATGAAAGTTCTGTTTAATTAATCTGTTTAAATTTCGTTTGAAAAACTAATACTCTAAAATTATGTAATGATAAGAAATGACATTGAAATATAGATACGGGTATTTAGTTTTTATTGTACAAAACGGTTCCTTGACTTCTTATAGAATGAAACATATAAGTTTAGGACAACTTACTCTGATAATACACTATTTTCTTCTGCAGTTATAGGCATAATCATTTCAGCATTAAGATTCTCACAAAATTTCTTTGAATTTGTAAAATTCCTCGGTTCTGGATCCAGCTTATAGCATTTAGAACCATGGAGATCCCAGCCTTCGGAACAGGTAAATATGCCTAATCAATACAACAAATTAATATGTATTATCCTTTCGGATGCTTCTCTGATGTTTGTGTTTGACGTAGAATTGACTGTCCATTGAATTTACAACTTGAGAGCAATACGTTAAAAAGATTAATAATAGTAATCTTCGAAATGAGATTTTTTTGTTTCAAAGAAATGTATATATAATATAAACATTAAAATCAAAATGGCAGATAAAAAAAGTGACAATTCACAAAAACTTTTTAACAGCTTGCAATTTCCTTAATCGTGTTCTACTTAATCAAATACAACTGCACTTCAAAAACTTTTTTTTTAGAACAATACACAATCATTTACTTCATTATTTGATAACAACTCATTCATAGACGTATTTACACTTGTATGCAAATATGTCCGCCATTACGTAAAATCACACAGGTTCCCGTAAATTTTGACATCATAATTCAAAACATTTGACGTCACAATTAAAAAGTGATTGTTGCCTGACGTCAAAAGGTGATTCGGAGTAGATCTAAGGTCATTCGGAGGCAAAATATAGCTAAATACCAAAAGTGTAAATACGTTTATTGTGTCATTCGATATTCTAATATTTAGTCCTATGATGTTTTCACTTACTATTGCATTTATACCGTATCATTATTTAAATTGCATTCTTGTCATTATCAGCTACGTGTTAACGTGGTAAAAATCGTAAGAATTATTTTCCAATGTCGAAATATAATATGATAAAATCAGATAACACAAGCCAAAAAGAACAAGACGAAAAGACAAACAACAATATACAGAAAAACTAAAGCTTGAGTATAACAACCGAATACCCCAAAAAACTGATGATGTCTATACGAGTAGTTGTTTTAAAAGTGTAAGCTCTACTCGATTAGAAATACCCATAGTGTTAATCGTATTATAATCTTTGGATAATTCATATCCGGTGGGTACGCATCGCAAATTAGCGGGAAAATTCATCTGGTCGTCTCTCAATTCATATACTAGTACCAGGTGTACATGTTAATCTTTATCAATCCAAAACAAATGACCGAATGTGAAAGTTTGAGATAAAAAAAATCGTTTTTGAATTGACCTAACAACACTTAGCGGTAGAAACAACATATACATGTGAAAATAAGATAGCAATATCATTACACCACTGTCCCAGGTTAGGGGAGGGTTGGCGCTTTCACACTAGTTTAACCCCGCCACATTCTGTATGTGCCTGTCACAAGTTAGGAACCTGTAATTCAGTGGTTGTCGTTTGTTGCTGTATATCATATTTGTTTTTCTTTCATTATTTTTTACATAAATCAGGCCGTTAGTTTTCTCGTTTGAATTGTTTGACATTTATCATTTCGGGAACTTTTATAGCTGACTATGCGGTATGGGTTTTACTCGTAGTACTAGTTTAAGGCCGTACGGTGACCTACAGTTGTTAATTTTTGTGTCATTTGGTCTCTTGTGGGGAGTTGTCGCATTGCAATCATACCACGTCTTCTTATCTTTATTGTTGTCTTTACTTTAGTTGAAAATATTAGGCATCACATGTATTGAATTTTATTTGGGTTTTTTTTTTTCTCCCTCAATTGTCATTCAAATGTATTTTTCTAGTCCTATCATAATTTCTATAACCTCCATCAATGAAACGGATAGCCTCAAAGAGTTCTCTAGTGTTCCGGCAGGATGAGCAGTACCTGTTCAATAAAACGGATAGCATCCGTTTAGGTGCTTGTGGCATGTGAAAATCTGTGTAATGGCACATTCAGCAATGAAATAATCGATTAAATCGTCGAGAAATAGTTATGTTACCGTCAAATGAAATATACCATTGGTGATCTGGATCAAAGATAAAGATATAACATAATGAACATCAACTCATTATGACGTCCGTTAAACTATTATGTAAATAACTCGAACTTCACCTTTAAGAACCTTTTGTGCAATGGCTAACAGCTTCCTTGTAAGCAGCAACCCTCTATCTACATTAATTTTTATCAATAAAATACTGAATATTTTTCGATTATTCATGTTTGAAATAACAGACCTTCATGAGCATAAATGACTGATCAATTGAATACCGATACAGTTTATAAGTTTTAAGTATTATCTATCTCAGAGCAATGGCAAGTCTTGAGTGTGGGATATAAAAGGTCCGCTTCCGACGGGATTAATATTTGATTCTTCTTAACTATAACTATTGACTATATGATGGAAATTTAATAACAAATATATAATAGCACTATAGGTCAAATGTCTCCATTTGTTAATAAAGTAAAATATATATAAAAGAAATTTATTAACTTCTGTAGTCCACACCTTCTGTTTTTGTTTTTTTGTTTTGTTCTTTTCATTATGTCACCATGGCTAATTCTAGAAGTTGATTAATATGACGACCATTTTAAAGACACACCTTTGTCAAATGGTGTCCACGATGTTACCGTTTATACCAAAATCCTTCCAATCTCAAGAAATGACGTCAAAGTAGTCGGTGATCATTATTAACAATTCCAGTGACCTAAATGTTATTTGTCAATCGATAAAAATATGGGCTGACATGCATAAAATCACTTAAGTCAAGATATCCATTCGTAGTACTCATTTATCGTAGGACATGTAGAAAAATCAGTCCGTTCGGAAAAAATCTTAACTTAAGTAGCTTTATGCATACGAGCCATGGTCTCATATAAAGAAAACAGGTTTACGAATTGCCGTCAGATCTTTCTGTTTCTGTATTTAAATTTCGTAATAAGATGATTTTGTATTATCAAAAAGTCTGTTAGCGTTGTAAATAATGTGTCGTCAAAAAACCGCCGTTGGAGTTAAGTGTCTTTTATATATTTATTTATTCATTTTTATTCATTTTTGTTTCATTCCAATGCAAAGAACACCAATATAATAATAATGAATTTAAATTGTCTATCAAAATAAACAAAGCGAAGAAAGTGCACCAAATGTTTGATATAAACATATATCTATCTTCTTTATAATTCCTTCTCTTGGATTCAATAAAATAAATATATAAGTGGTGCCTGAGTTGCGCATGCTTCCGATGCATCATATTTTACTCCCGTTCCTATATTGCTTAATGTTAGGTGCTCTAAGTTTTTTTAAAGTCTATAAATGCATAGCATAATTTTTTTGGGACCCTTTCTAGCTTGCTGTTCGGTGTGAGCCAATGCTCCGTGTTGAAGGCCGTACCTTGACCTTTAATGGTTTACTTTTATAAATTGTAACTTGGATGGAGAGTTGTCTCATTGGCACTCATGCCACATCTTTCTATATCTATAGCATAATGGACTATTCCAAAACATGACCAGTCTTCGATAACAGTTAACTTAAATAAAATTGCCGATTTATATAATCAAAAACGGGTTGACTTACAGTGAAAACAGGCTCTACTTAACTTTTTGTTTTATGTATTGTTGCGTTGCTGTCTCATCGATCGACATATAACCAGCATATTTTCCTATTATAAATATCAATGCTAAAACATTTTCACAGTAATTATTTTCACGTGTAAGTTTTCCAAAATATAACCACATTTGTTCGTTGCAGAAAATTTACTTACTTGAAAACGATTTACTAAAAGTTCCTAATAAAATAATTCCTAAAAATGTATAGTTAAACATTGTATCTCTAGATTTCCATCACACACGCCAGATGCTGTACACCTAGACGCATGAAGAACTTAATTATTTTTGATTGTTTTACTGATTCTCTTTTCAATGCAATTGCAATGTAGGTGTTTTAATCGTTAACTAGATACATTACAGAAACATATTGTAATGAAACATTCATGCACAAAAAAAAACTCCCGGGACACTCGTAGTCATATTTATAATTGATGATCTATAGGATACTACACGCATAGGCTAAAACGCGGACCGCAATTAGGACACCAAACTGAACTGTAATGTAAACATTAATTGGAACATATTTACATTGTATCATAGATCACATTTATTTGTTCAGTGTATGTTCACTGATGTTGATATGTCTTTTGATTGAGTTAAGCCATTTCAATTGATATTTTATAGTTTGTCTTTCTATGTTGTGATGTTACACTATTTTTTCAGATAAGGGTGAAGGTTTAGCATTATTCAAACGTTTAAACCCGCTGCAATTGTTTGCACTTGTCCTAAGTCAGGAATCTGATGTTCAGTAGTTGTCGTTTGTTGATGTGGTTCATAAGTATTCCTCGTTTCTCGTTTTTTATATAGATTAAACCGTTGGTTTTCCCTTTTACATGGTTTTACACTAGTAATTTTTGGGGCCCTTTTTAGCTTGCTGTTCGGTGTGAGTCAAGGCTCCGTGTTGAAGACCGTACTTTGACCCACAATGGTTTACTTTTATAAATTTTGACTTGGATGGAGAGTTGTCTCATTGGCACTCATACCACATCTTCTTTTATCTAATAACTTTTTGCTCTCTACAGAAGCAAGATACCAGGAGACTCATAGTATCGGTGGCAATGGCACGTTGATATAAGCGAGGTTCAATTTTTACTGTTTTTAATATGTTTAAGTTATTAATGCATTATGTATTGTTATTGCATTAAACTTAAAATGCAATTCCATCACGCATAGTCTACTTTAAAAAGACGACTCAGTTTGATATTTTCTCGTTGCACTATTTTGTTTGATACTCACTCAAACTTTTGATCTCGTTCGAGGATTATTCCGGAAACACGTGCCGTGTATTTAAATCGGTACAATATATTAAAAAAAATGTGAACATTTCAAAAATCGATAGCATACATGTATTTTAACATATTTGTAGCTGAATAACTAAATGTTGCAATAATGTATTTGGTCTAATAGGTTCTAAGATGCAACAACTACAAGTTTTATACTTTTCCAATTCCTTGTGAGGTGTTAATTTCAAATACTGGTTTCAGACATCAAGTATATATATGTGTGTCCCCGTCGCAATGTGGTGTAAGGGGCACAGAGATAAATGGCGTCCTTCCGTCTGTAAGGTGCGCTCTCACGTGATCAATTCTACCTTGCCATATTTATATTAGAATTATGTAATAGGTTTGTACCAGAAATATCTTGGACTAGTTTAAAAATCAGTTAAAATCAACTATACGTAAACGAATTATGCCCCTTGAAAATGTAAATTTGGTGGGAAATTGCATTGTAAGCGTTAACAAGCAAATATTTCATATCAGATTTTTATGAAATTTATATCAACGGCTTATATCAGTAGTGTCCTGGACTAGTTAGAAAATCAGTGCCGATCAATTTGTTTTTTTACAGAAAGAGTGTCCCCTGTCAATGTTGTGTTCCATTTGAATTTCAGGGAAATTGATACGGGTAAGACTTATAGTAAAGATTTAAAATACTATTATTTAAAATATTATTGATAATTCCTGAATTCAGGAAGTATTTGAACATATCAGCTAAAACAAAAAGAGAACTGCCAAGGGAGGCAATTGAAACCATAATCTAAAAAAGTCAGACAATGCCATACCTAAGAGAAGAGAAAGACAAACAGACAAATAACAGTTCAAAAGACAGAAAACCAAAGATTTGCAATAAAAACTCTCTATTCAAAAGGCCAGGGTACGGCTTACGACTCGATACGTTACGCTTACTAGTATAGGATGGTTTGTACATTTCTTCATCTAGAACACTACTTTCAATTCCTTTGCAATTCAAAACTTCTTCTTGTTTTTACTTTAGTTGAAAATATTAGGCATCACATGTATTGAATTTTCATTGGGTTTTTTTCTCCCTCAATTTTCATTCAAATGACTTTTTCTGGTCCTTTTATAATTTTTATAACCTCCATCAATGAAACGGGTAGCCTCAAAGAGTATCAATGTATAGAAGGTTTCTTAAATGGTATCAATTTGACAAGATTTTTTAAATATTTTATTTATTGGTATTGACATTATTTAGTTTTTTTATTATTATAATAAATTGAAACAAATATAACTAAATATGTATTGTTATACATTTAAGAAAAATTATGGCCTTAAATCCTGTCGATATCAAGTTCTTATATTTTGGCATTGCGCAAGGTTATGCTTTTCTCAGACTGATATGACGTATTTACACTAAATGTATTTGATGTGTACTGATTGATACATCAATCTGGGAGAACATGGTGTATTTATGAGCTTTGAAACTAGCTTTCAGTAACTACAAGTACTCTTAGATCGGCATTGTGTGTCATTTCGTTTTCAAAAGTTTGTTCTTATATGGAGATGTTACACCATTTTTTCATCCTCAAGGAGGTGGAGCGCTTATAGACATGTTTCATCCCACATTCTTTATGTGCATGTCCCTCGTCATCATCCTATGATTCAGTGGTTTTTGTTTATTGCTGTCTGTTATAATAATTTGTGTTTTTATTTATTCATGTTATTGTTCTTTAATCATATTAAGCATATTATAGCTGCTTATGGTGTATCTTTTAGAATTAAAATTGAGAATGGAAATGGGGAATGTGTAAAAGAGACAACAACCCGACCATAGAGCAGACGACAGCCGAAGGCCACCAATAGGTCTTCAATGTGTATTAGTATTTTTAACGTAAAAGTTATAATAATCTCTACTTTTAAAGAGGACTGTTTGACTTCTTTTATATTAATCGTATTCGTACTATGCAGCTATAACAACATTGAGTAGGGACGGACAATGGTAAGGGGGTAACTCTGTTTGACTCGCAGAAAATGTCTGGAACATTTCTAGTGTTTTCTCCGGATGCAATCGTGGTTAGAATGTACCGATTACGTCCTTTTATATAGAATCTGAGCGGTTGCTGAGCCACGGAGTGCTACGAACGGTTCCGGCAAATAATAAAGCTCGCGTAATCATCCATTAGGTGTAAAATATTTAAAAGAGAAGAAAGTTGCGCTATCTTTAAGGTAAAACTTTGTTGTTACTGGTTGAAATTGAACTATTATGCCACGGAAACATATATATTTTGAAATATTTATTATTAATGCATATATTTGCCAAATATTGGTGTGTGTTGTCCACTGAATCGTGTGTAATACATATTTTTCCATATCGAGAAAACTCCCGTTATCAGGGCCTCGCTTTCGATTCAATATGGCGGCGCCCAGTGAATGACACTATTCCGGTAAGAATTGTGTAAATAAACATAGAAAAGTTTTTGTAGACAACGAAATAATGTTATCAGATGCTATTATGAAGAAACTTGTATTAAGTTTTGGGATATTTCAACTTCTTATCACAGTGGTGGGTCTAAAAAGTGTGTGTGTGTGTGGAAGGGAGGGGGGGGGGGGGTATTATCCTAATTCTTAGGATAACAAGGCTAAGCACTTGCCCTCTGGTTTAGTCTTTTAAAACAAGCCTACCTAGGAACATGTACATGTTAGATATACTGTTGTCATGTCTACCTAAAAAAATAAAATTGAAATGTTTCATGAACTTGAGTTGAAGAAGCACTTTTACTAAAGTCAGAATGTTGCTCTATAACACTATAGACTCAATGTAATAAAATAAATCCCTACCTACGTACCTTTATTTTTTCCTTTATGTAACTATAAAGGCAAGTATTATTTTATTTGACCTGAATTTGTGTGCCAAATACTTCTTGGTGTAAGGGAACAAGTATTTTTTTGCATTGCATAATGTTATTTCATTTCAGTTTATTGAGTCCTTGATCATTCATGCAATCAGCTGGAATAAACTGCTCTGACGCAGCAACAAGTACTGATGACATTACAACAAGGATTTGTAAGGTATAGACTTTTATGAGAACTAGGGGAGCACGCACTCAAACCTGCCCTCAAGATTTAGAAGTCCTGCCACAAAAGATCATCGGGAAAGCGGTTAGTCTTGTAGATTACATTGATCAAGACATTTTAAGAAATGGAGATGTTATAGATGTCTGGAATTGGTTATGTTCTGATTTTCCCACAAAAATATTCATTCTGAAAGATGAACTGTTATTGCACTTGAAACAGACAGAAAAGATTCTATTAAAAGACAAATTATTCAAAGAACTTACTGATTATTTGATCAACAAAATAAAGAAGGCATTAAAAAATGCACTTGACGACGGGAGATTGAATGTTCCCCCCATATCACACTTTTTGTTCTAAAGTGATTAATACTGTCCTGGGTGAAAGATACATCAATACGATATTGAAATAAACATTCCTACTGGATATGTACATATGTAGATATTTTTTTTAAGTTGAAGATATCAGCTTGATAATAAAAATGACTCATAATATAAATGTAAAGACTGCATTAGAAATATTTGACCAGAGTAGGTCTTAAGATGACGATTATTTAATTCAAAAGCTTGCTCCCATTGCTAATATTGACAGCTCATCTATAACTGAAAATGCACTTATTTCAAAATTGTACCGTTATCGGTCCAAAGTGAAAGAAAAACGAGGAAAACTTAAAACTGATTTTGAAAATGAGATATTTTCTTTACCTGTTGCAACCAACATATCCCCTGTTGCAAGTAAAGGTAAACTGTATGATGATGAAATAGCTTCTTATGAAAGACAAGTGTCAGTATAGCTTCAGATTTACACAAAGAACAACTTAAGTCAAAACAGGATCTAGATAGTCTGAAAACATTCACAAACTTGAGATAAAACAAATATAGTCATATATAGGAAATAACAACATTAAAAAGAGCTCATGCTGATGATACAAAAAAATCAAGAAAGAAGTTAAA